ATTCTCCCTACTAAGTTGCCGGGGGTTCAACCCTAAGTAATGATTTTCATTTGGTTGTCTATTTGTTTTTGCGTTATGTTCCTCATATAAAATACTATACCCCAAAAGGAGGATAGAATCTTACTGTATATTGGGTACCATAGTATCCCCAAATAAAATACTACTCAGGTAAGTCTCCCAAAACATCTCAAAACCATGCAACTCGCAGGGATACTGAGCGCTTATCAATGTTAAGATCTCCAGTTTTGGTACCATGCGGATTTTGAAAAAAAAAAACACAGGGCCCCAACAGGCTGGCTGCAGATCGATTCTGCCCCCGCGGCGTAGCGAAACCTGAGCTCATTGATCATAGCAATAGAGTCGCATCTTCCTTGTCACCCTCTATAGGAGGTTAACCATGGGGGTGCAAAAGTTGAAATAAAAATGGACACGTGCTGACCGCTAGGATTGTTTCTGTGGATGAGGTAATCCTGGATGTTCCCTGTATGCCTTCATGACCTAGGGACTATCACATTTTGGGCTCTTACTTGATCTCAGATTTCCTCCGTCCCCTGTCTGAGACTGACTCTATGCGCCTGCACAAAGCAATTCAACCGCGCAGTGGACATTCGTACCTGTTTGGGCTCCATTCCGAAAAGATTCTTGAGGCCTTCATCACGCGGTGCTTTGGAGACCCCTTCATCAGCCTGATCCCAAAAAATACACCCTCAACCGATAAACCTTAAACCAGCGGAATCTTACACGACCTTGCATGCCCTAAAGCCTAACCGTATATGCCGCAAATCAATACTAGGGTTTAAATAGGGTTTATATAATGTTATTTATACAGGGGTTATATAGGGGTTATGTAGGGATAATGGAAAGGAACATGGAAATTACTATAGTAGGGTTAAGGGTTTAGGATCCTCCTTCCGTCCAAGGTCATGAGCCACCTGGACTCCTCGGCGGCCCCTTTGAGAGAATCAAACATATAGTAGAAAAAATGTTGATAACAGTTGTAATAATAGCAACAAAACTATGACCCCTAAACCCTAAACCTAAACCCGATTGTACTCGGAGTTTTGTTGGGATTGGTTGGAGACGCCCCCCACCTGAGCCAGAGGAAGGAGGAGGGGTCGCAGACCGCCGCAGGCCATCGCTGAAGATGTCTGCTTGCTGCGCCCTTGGTTTAGGGTTTAGGGTTTAGGATGGTCTAGGGTTTGGGCTCCCTGAAAACTGCGAAGATCACCTAACAGGATTTCAAAAACTGCTGCACATGTGCCTTGTAGCTTTGCAGGGAACATATCCGGCTTCTTCGTTCCATTATCCCACTATAACCCCCGTATACTACATAGTAGTTTCCATGTTATTTTCCATTATCCCTATATTATAACCTAAACCGAAACCCTATATAACCCCACTATAGTAGTTTCCATTTTCCTTTCCATTATCCCAATATTAATAAGGAGTGCCCGGAGTTGCGATCCCAAAACTTTTTAGATCGAGGAAGCAAAGCTGAGGAGTCGCTCGCAGCTTCTGTGGGCTTCTTGTCCGAAGAATGGGGTCCCATACTTGGAGGGTCAGGGGGACTTAGTAAGTAGCTTAATCAGGGGGATAACTGGGGTTATTACAGGGGTTCTGAAGGTTATAAGCGTAGTAAGTCAAAATGGAGTAGTTTATTATTAGGGGGATACCCCAATATATACCCTTTGAAAATGTGGGAGTTTCCATTTCCTTCTCCATTATCCCGACATTAACCCATATTCCCGACGGCACCGTGGATATTCGAGGCTAGACATTCGAGGCTAGACAGAATTTCTCAGCAACAATCCTCATTTTGGGCCAATGCCGACACAAATGCCCCGCAGCGCTCGACCCTCAAAAAATTAGGGCCTCGACTTCGGGGTGTAGTTAGAATCTTCCCGTTGACCCTAAACCCTAAACCCTGAACCACCTCATTCTGGGGCTGCGACATAAAAGGCATGCCACCCAGGTGCTTCCGCCTTGAAAGAAATCTTATATTATAGCTGAGCCATACTTGCCGACAGAAGACCGTGAGGGATTGAGCTTGAGAAGATATAGGGGTCGAATACATGGAAGTTATGTAGGAATTCCGGGCGAATGTGTAAGGCATGCGCGAATGTCCAAATCCAAGCTTCTGGCAAGAGATTCAAAGTGTGAAGCGCTGAACACGGCGCGTTGTGAACCGGGGTCCCCGAAATGGGAATGACATGACTTTGGAAACTCAATATACTGTTGTCGTACGGAGTTGAAAAGCTTGGGGTCTGAAGGTTAAGGCTTTTAGGTGTCGTGTTCTTGGATGGACAGAAGTACACGAGCATAGCACGGACCCCCGGGTGGAAGCACATCCTCTCAAACTTGGCCAGTGGCCCTGGGTACTCGCGCAGGATGTTGGCCTCGCAGAGTGAAAAGCGCACAAATGGCGGCTTGATGGGTTTGGGGTTTGGGGTCTAGGGGTTTATGGTTTAGGGGTTTAGGGTTCAGAGACGAACTAGATGCACTTCACGGTTCCAGCATATCCGATGTTCGAATACTGCGGATAATTGGAACAGGCATCCCTTGAGTTCAAAACCCAGAAGTTCTCAATGACATGTTGGTTCAACCAGGACCGCGCAAGCACCCTACTAGCAGTAACTCAGGCTCCTATTTTCTCTGAACCACCCCTTTGAAATTAAACCGAATACCCATACCATATTTCGAAGCATTTAACACCCTTCACAACCACCATCAAGATCTCTTTTGCATTCGCTTGTTGCATGAAGCGGCCAACACTGCACATAGCAAAAACCTGTTTCAGGATCTAAGGTTTAGGGTTCACCTCATGATTTAGGGTTTACGGACCTCAGCGATAAGGATTAAATGATGAATCTTCTGGTAATGGTGGATGCTGTTTTGCCGGAGGGCTTTCAAGATAAGACGAACCTCTGAAACTCTGCGACTCTTTCTTTGCTGTCTTCTAAAGAACCTTCTTCAAATGCCTTTGAAAAAGCTAAGCCTCTGAGCCTTCTCTCAAGATACCTTCGAACAAGCTGAACCCCAGAACCTCAACAACAAGCTGCAAACCGCATATCCTGAACGCTAGATTCACTAGATACCCTGTTGTGAAGATGCTCGAAAAGTAGGATCCATCCGTGCGGGGCCAAGAACTACAAGGCCAACAAATGTCTAGAACATGTATTTCTGTCATGATGAATCTACAGCATTATTGGAAGTTGGTCTGGACTTAATAGCAAATACTCACGGTACTCATAATAACTAACGCGTCTAAACCTGTGCATGATCTTCACGCCATCTTGTTGGGACTACATTCCTGAGGTCAAAAAGGGGACCCTTCAAGACCCTAATGACAACAACTAGCATAACAGACAAAGTCGAGTATAGCAGACAGAATGAAATGACTAGAATAACAGTGCAGTACATACCAATCGCAACAGTGATAAGAATATTGAAAAACACTATCATTAAAACATTGAAAGATCCCAAAAAAAGAACCCCCCAAACCCCAGTACTACAGTGGGGAAACTAGGGGATTGTTAGGGGTAGCCCTATAAACCCTAAACCCTGAATAGTAGTTTCTATTTTCTTTTCCATTATCCCTATATAACCCCTATAACCCCACACGGGGGTTCCATTTTTTGGGATCCTTTTGGGGGGTCTGGGTATGGGGCTTCGGTGGTGCAGGGTGAGGCCTTCCGCTCTGCCCAGAGGGGCTCCGAGCTTCGCGGGGTCAGCTTGCCATAGACAACCTGCAAAGAACACTTAGGGGTTTAGGGTTTGGGGTTTGGGTTTTGTGGTTTAGGGTTTAGGAGGTTAGGGTTTAGGGTCTAGGGTTTCATTTAGGGTTACTAGAGGTATCTCAAGGGATATAAAAGGTATGTATTGGGATGTGTAGGGGGTTCTAGGTATACATAGGGACATATACATATGTATAGGGATCTACGGGATACATCGGGGCATATAGGTACGTATAGGGGTTCCAGGTATAAATAAAGAGGTGTATATATATATACAGGTATGAATAAGGATTTAAAGGATATATAGGGATACATAAGGATGTCTAGGGCTGTATACCGTACACGGTATAGGATTTAGGGCCTGCCGAAACTAGCCTGGAGCCAGACAACTCTCCTCTTTAAAAGGGGCTACATGTTTCAAGTTCAACTGGGGGAGATCCGGCAGCTGTTCATCAGGCTTCCGAGGCTAAGCGTTTCAAAGTCGTTTTCCACTGTTCCTGAAAAACAAAACGGCAACTCCTCTGCAACATCCTTGTGTCCACTTTCCAACGCTGCTTTCAGCGCCTTTAGGACGTGGACAACGCGCACGGAGGCGTTTCGGAGCATCATTGGGTTTAGAAGCGCGAAGTGGCCTCCACTACAATGTGCAAGCAACACCACTCTGCGAATAAGACTGCCAGCAAATGCCTGAAGAAAGTGACAATAGGAATACCTTTCGGAAAAACAGTAACAATCACAGTAAGGATAGCAATAATGGTACTAGTAATAATGGTAATACTGCTAATGAGCCATGCAAGACTGGAAAGACCTTGTAAGTTGCATCGCACGTGAGCACCCGTTTCGTGGCGAGACCTGGTAAGAATAGAGCTCTCCACAGACAATAGCTTTTGGAACAACGCACTGCCCAAACCCCAAAGCTGAACACCTTCAAACATGAACCTTACCCAAGTCCTAAGCCCTCTGCACTAGGAATGCCAATATAACCCCAACATGCACCCTATCATGATAAAGTAGTTTCCATGTTCTTTTCCATTATCCCTAAACCCAGTTTCCATTTTCTTTTCCATTATCCCTAAACCCTAAAGCCTAAACCCTATATAACCCATTATAGTAGATTCCATTTTCTTTGCCATTATCCCTGGGGAAAGTCTTCGGAAGGCCTTATCTGTGGTGCACTTCATCGCGCAATGGGGCTCGCTAAAGCCTGGCAGAAGTTGCCGGTACTTCTAAGGTGGCGGTTCATGCTCAATCTTGCATTGGGGGTCATATGAGGGTTACATTGGGGTAACATTGGGATGATGGAAAATGAAATGGAGACTACTATTTAGGGATTAGGTGTGTTTTAGGTAGGATGACTCTAGCTTCCACCTCATTGAGGGCAGCTGTCAACCGGTCGTCGTCAATTGGATGTCAGATTCCCGCCGCATCATGCCAACTATTGGTGCAATGGAGGGTTGAGGGTTTGGAGTGGACAAGGCCCTCGCCCCAATCTTCCCCATGCTTACTTGGGATTCGTGGAATGGCTCCCCGTTTCTCATACAGGCGGTTCTGAAGGTAGCAAGCAAGTTCTGGGGACAGCAGGAATAAAATAAATATTGTAACGGGCGCTTCTGAGAAACATTCATACCTCCTCGACTGTTTCTAGATATATTGTAGCTACCCAAAACAAAAGGGGCAGCATTACAGCTGCTTCAACTCGGAAACTTGTGAAAGGTAGTTTCCCCCAAACTATTGTGAAACAGCTTCTTAACTTCTTACACGAGCCATAATCTACACTCCTAGCATCCCCGCAAATAGCCCCTATAATAATCCCCCATATAATCCCCTATACAGTATACAGTAACACCACCTTTAAGGAGTTTAGACTATAGCTCACATGGATAGCCATCTTTGCGGGGCCCCTGACCAGCAACCACTCCATCCATCCTCAACCGTAAGCCCTCGACCTGAGTACAGAATTCTGCTATGCTAGAGCCCCCCTTAAGTAGATAGAATATGGCTTTGGGATGCTTTGGGTATATTATAGTAAGATCCCCATATACCCATTATTCTATATACTTAAGGGGGGCCATAACCCCCAAACTGTATTCCCTTCCTACTAGTTAACCCCAAACCCCAAGAGTGCATGTGCTTGACGAGGTCAGGAGACCCTGGACCCTAAATCCTGAAGCCCTCGCAAGGCCGTGCGGAGCCTGTGGCAGCCTTGACGATCCTGAAAAAATCTTACTCATGCCTAGTTGGAAATGCAGGAATGATTGTAGGAACTGTTACAGAGGCTGGTATCGGGGGCTCCATAGGGACTGTTTGAAGGATCCATTCCCATTCCCACCTAGGCATGAGAAAGACTTGCAAGCGAGTGTGGGGATGATGTAAATGTGCATTGGGGCCTAGTTATCACGTGGTATTCGAAATCTAGACTCACGGCTCCAGCGTGCAGTTCGGAATCAGGTTCAAAATCTTCACAGCGGGATGCGGGGTCCAGTGCTCGTGACGCATTATCTATTATCGTCGTCATGAGTCACGAGGCATAGAACGGATTGAAAATACAGAAACCCCCAGGCCTTAATCGGGCCTCGTCTATGCGCTGGCATGTTGAGTGATGATGCTGGTAGGCCAACTGCGTCTGACAATTTGTTCGAGATCTACCGCGGGTGCACCTGCATGTCTGGAAAAAGGCCATGCCTCATACTTCGCCACATTTCTGGCAATCCCTCAGCCCTCACCACCCTGTCAAAATTCGAGAGCTACCGCGGGGGCGCCTGCGTGATCAAAAGTAAAACTTCTCAACATTTGTGCACATTTTTGCATATTTTTGCTCATCCCTTCCCAGGCCTTTCAGTCGTCGGATCACATCATTACCGCGTGGTCGTCATCAGTACCCCAAGGGTGGGGTGGGGCGGGCTGGGGCGTGGGAAAGGGGCAAGGGGGAGGCCAGGGTTGTGGGTACGGAGTCTTCTGTCTCAGAGACTAGAAGATTCAATATCTCATACGCTTCAGCGTAGAGTGCAGAACAGTAAACGCGCAGTTGTCGTTGCGGTTGGGTTGGCAGAGACTGCAGCATGTTTTCCCAATGTGTTCAGCTTAGAACGGAACTCAGGGAATATGCTCGGGCTGAGGTTTGTGCAAAAGGCGCGATCTGGAAGACTCAAGTCTGCTGCCGGGATGGCAGTGTCAAAACCGCTTCAATTCAGAAACCATCTGAGGGCACTGATTCCTCAACAGTACATTTGCTTTTCAGCCCCGAGTATAAGGACAAGAAAGATGAAAGCCTGACTGGCTTTCTCCGCCTCTGCGGCTTGTGGGTAATCATTAAGCGGGGTTGCAAAGAAGCCTATGAACTTCTCCCAGCACTCCCTTACACCCAAAACCCGAAACCCTAAACCCTAAAATCCTGAAACCCTAAAACCCTGAAACCCTAAAACCATCCAAAGCCAAAACTTCCACACCATCCAAAAAGTATGCCTCGCCTGTCTCGCGCTTCAGGATGCCATCCAGCCTGATGCGTGCCCAGGTGCTCGCTGGGACCTCGGTTCAATCAGAATTGATTTACGGGTTCTTAATAGAAGGAATAACGGAATAGATTTTGCAGGGATTAGATACTTTATTTTCATATGCCTGCAAAGAGCCAGTGACTTGACAGTTCAGGGTCTGCAGGTTAAAGGGTTTGCGGGTTTATTGGTGTAGGGTCTTGAATTTTGCAGTTTGGGACCTACGGTTCGCTGGGACCTCGGCTGAAACTGGGAGGTGCGCCCAGTGGGACTCGTCTACACAGAACTGTCCAAGTCCCTGGACTCCCTCTTTTGTGTATACTGTCAGGGTTATACCGGGATAATACAAAAAAAGGAAACGACTTGGATTATGGGAATTATATAGGGTTGATGTAAGGCTTATAGGGTAGACATTGAGGTTATATAGGGATAAAGGAGAAGAAAATGGAAACTGCTAGAATGGGGCTATATGGGGATTTCTTAAACGCGCCTTTTACCCTCCAGCATGTCAGGCCAGCCCCAGTTCGGGCGGGCATACTCTAGGCCAAAGCGCGGCTTCGAGAAAACAAGAGTTTAGGGTTGGGGTTTAGGTTACATAGGGATAGTGGTAAAGAAAATGGAAACTGCCATGTTAAAATAGGGTATATATTGGGGTTCTATTGGGGTTACGTGAGGGTTATATTGTGAGCACCCGTGGAGGCAAGGAAGCATGTGGTCTCCAGCGTCCATTGAAGAATGACAATGGCTGAACATTGATGTCCCTCTGTATATGTACCAGCAGAAACATGCTAGGAACCAAATAATCCACCCACACCCTAAACCCTAAACCCGATCCCTAGAATCTGTCCACAAACTCAGTCTCAGTTCAAGCTGTACATCATCCCTTTACAGTACTCGGCTGCTGTTCAGGAACTTGAATTAAGTTGTTCTATTGAGGAAACCATCTTAATGACTATACATACCCATTATGGTAACCTCATTTCGGTTTCCATATCACTCATATATCATGGTAACTTCCTTGGTGTGCAACCTGGGATACCTGGCAGCCGGCAGAGCCAGAAGCGTCCTTGCAGCGAGTGCCCACCCTGCAGCCACGGCTTAGCGCTTAGGGATATAGGGCTTAGGGTTCAGGGTATAGGGTTAAGGGTATAGGATTTAGGGGTATAGGGTTCAGGGTTTAGGGCTTAGATAAAGGGGTTATATTGGAAAAATGGAAAAAATTGGAGACTACTGGGATTATAGGGATTATACCGGGTTCATGTAGGGGTTATAGGGTAGATATGCAGATGTTGGGGTTGTATTGGGATAATGGAAAATAAAATGGAAACTGCGTGGATTATGGGAATTATATAGGGTGTATGTAGGGATTATAGGGTAGACATTGGGGCTATCTTGGGATAACTGAAAAGAAAATAAAAACTACTGGGGTGATAGGGTTTAGCCTCAGGGTTTCAGATTTAAAGCCATAGAAAACACCGGAGCTCATTGTCGGGGTTACCTATAACGAGGATTGTACGGCGTAGTGTTTCGACGTGGTTTTTGGATCGCCCCATGTACCTATGAAAACTACCAGCAAAACCTCCTGTGTAAAGGTCACTGGGCTTGAAAGGATTCCAGGTGGTTGGTTGTCAAAATTATGGTCCCTTTTGGGATCCCTATTATAATACGGCACCTAATGCCAAAAAAGGGATCATACTTTTGACAACCACCCAGGTGTAGAGGGCGATAGCGGAGATCCTTTGGGGCTTCAGGTTTGAGGCTTTGAGCCTGTCGTGCGACCAGGACCTGTCGTACGTCTTTCACAGAAGTCTGAAGTCAGAATTTGTGGCTTCCTCAAGATAATGTCCAACGTTCGACAGTTGAAGGCCAACAATAAGGCATGGGGAATGCTGATGTTGGCGGATGGAGGTGTGACAGCCTTGAGTTGCATCAGAACTGTCTTTCACCCTGCATCCAAGCATGCTTTGACAAGTCATGCTTGCTGACCTAAACCCTCAGGAAGCTGATTATGACCTCAAGTAAGGCAGCACTCCTTCTAGGGCACATGTTTGATGGACAAAATTCCTGATCCTGATTGCTTCCTCCTGACATCAAAGACCCCCCATTTCCTAGTATTCAATATGGCCCCCAGCGTGTTGAGGCTACTATGAGGACTATCTACCCCTCACTCTGAACGTGGGACACAAGAACATCCCAACACCTAATATTACAAATCCTGAGATCCCAACACCCTACTATGGGTTCTTGGAACACCAACATGGGGAGCATGGCACCCAGAACAATGGTGTTTGCCAAGGCATGGCGTTCGCTGACCTGAACCCTGACGCGACACATGGGTTGTTCTCAAAATGATGAACCCCTGTTGGTTATAGATTATATTACGGCACCGAATATAGGGGTACACAAAAGGGACCAAAATTTTGAGAACTACCCACCTGCCTCTTCCCCCTGTGGGTGTGGAGGTTGGCGGAGTCTTTGCCTCGACTGTGCTTTATTCATCTGGGCTGCTGTCAAGGCACTGAATTTTAGCTGTTTACTAAAATGGGGCAACCACATAAATTTCGACATATACAATTATGTTTAACTTAATATGAGTTCCTTAACAGCAACGCAGTCATGGGGAGCTTGCAAGAAGCGAGACAGTCCGAGTGTTGGGTATCAGGGCTGCCCTTTGCCAGAACATAGCCCAGGAGATCTGCCAAGGGTGCATCCCTGAACCTTGTGAACCTGATGTCTGTGGAATGCTTCAAGCAACAAGCAGGAAGCAAACCAATAAAGCTGCAACAGTTGAAGAAAGACTGCTGACTAAGTTGACAAGTACCAAAAAGCAGAACTGTGAAGCAGACACATATCGTTGTCTGTCCTAAATCATGAGGCGGTGCGGCAGCGAGGGTTCTCTCAACACAGGGGTATGATGGGGATTCTATTAGCCTAGCCCTTTGTATCACTGCCTTGAGAATATCCCACTGACCCAGATGAAGAAAAGCGCGCTTGTCATTTGCAGTGACATGCTTCTCGTTGTAGGAAGTGACGAAAGGGATCCTTGTAGTTGTCCCTATAAAAAAACCCAATAATGTAGCAGCTCCATAGAAATGACATAACGGATCCCTACTGGAGTCCCATAACATCCCTGGAACAAGCCCATCCACGCAGTCGTTCATTCGCAAACACGGAACCCTAAACCCTGAAGCAAAAAAAACACTACCCCTCGAACCCTCAACCCAGAACTCTGGACCCTAACCCTAAACCCTGAAGCCTGAACACCATACCCAAAACACTGCAGCCTAAACCCAGAACTCATTATTTCGCAAAGGACAGGATAAGCTCAGAACCCGCTGTATCAGCAAAGCAGACCTTCCTCGGCGTCGGACGTCGGATTTACCAATCGTAAGAATAATGGGATAATGGAAGGAAAATGGAAGCTACTGGGACTATGGGGATTATACAGGGTTCATGTAGGGATTATGGATTCTATATTGGGGTAATATTGGGATAATGGAAAATAAAATGGAAACTACTTTAATGGGTGATATCATACTGGGGCTGTGGAAGCCAGGCCCTAGAATTTAAGGGGTTTAGGGTTTAGGACTTGAAATTTCGGTGCAAAAATTTGGGCCTGGTGCTTGGAGTTTGGGATTTGTGGTCGGGAATTTAGGATTTCCGACTTACGGTTTGGGACTTGAAGTCGGTAGTTTCGAATTTGGCTGTAGCATTTAGGGTTCAGTTTCTAGACTGCCCTGGCTATTTGCAAGGCTCTATTTAAAGAGGGGAGGCCCTTCTGGTGAGAGTGTTCTAGGGAAAGCAGGAAAAAGAGGATTTAAGTACACTCCCCACCGATGCTGTTGCGTATCTCCTCCATCCACAGCAGGAAGAATGTGAAGATGCCAGATGATTCTACTCAAATTCTGGGCACATACCGGCCCTCAATTTCTCATGTTATCTCTGGCGTTTGGCTCTGAGGACGCTGGGGCCTGCTATCCCTGCTGCGAACATTCTTCAACACAGAGGCAAATCACGAAGCTGTAGCTACCGCTGCGTTCTTCAATCTGTTTCATGCAGCCATGACACCTTGCGGCGCGTGCCTTCATGAATCATAACTGTATACTGTGAAGCACCTAAGCGCGTGATATGGCAGCTGTGACGCCCAAAGCCCGAATCTAGACATTTTGAAGCTCTACAAGCTTCCTCAAGCAGTCTGGTGACTGGAAGGACTTGAGCTCAATACTTCAGGCATCCATGCCCCCATTGCCTTCTAGGAGTGTGTACGTGTAAGCAAACCACCCGATCCCTCAACCCCATGATGAGGCAGGATGAGCCCGCGACGGATCCACTCTGCGCTTGCCTACGGTCAAGCAAACTCGGATTCCTCCACATGAGGGTTTGTATGTTACTTGCGGGATACAGGAATATTTTGTGGGATATACAGTTATACTGAACTACAAGGAACTCTACATCAACTCCTAATAGTCCCACTAGTTTCTGCACCGCTGACAGCCGCTTGCGTTGGATTTTGCCGGATCATGATGGTCTCGGCAAAACCGCAAGATAGACGATATCAACTGCCGGAAGCGCATCATCATTTTAACCATGGTACTATTTGCAAGTGAGCCTGTAGGAAGGGCCTTACCATGACATGGCTTCCCCCAGAGGCTTTAAATCAAGTCCTTGTATCAACAGACCTGTAACCACTGTCCAACAAAAGGAACTGGCAGATCCATCCTTTTGGAATGTCCAAGGTTTACAGTGATGCAACTCATGTACCTACAAGAGAAGGCTTAAGAAATCGTCAAGGTCATGCGCGTAATCCCGCGTATGGTACACTAGCCTAGCATAAGATTTAACGTAAAAATGAATAGGGACTGAGAGAATCGGATGTCTCGAAACAGTGGCCGTATGGATACTGGACAATCAGAGTAACAATGCAGCACATACTGGCATTTCAAACACAGGAAGGCTGGGACAGCGGCGCGAGTCCGCAACAGAGTCCTTCTCCTCTGCAGCGCTTCCTAGCAGACATGCTGATGCGGGGCGCCTAGGTGGCGAAACTCCTCTTGGCGGCTCGTTCCTGCCTTCTCACGCATGAGCCTTGTTAACAAAACTGGTCCAGCAAGGGATGGGTTCAGCCAGGCCTCCTGCATGTTACGGTCACAGATCAGAAAGGCTAACTCTCGGCCTTTGCCCAGCTGGCCGAAAACCACACTGCCCACCAGGTCCACGCCTGTGCCTGGGTGAAGCATGCGAAGATGAGGAAATCAGTGGGTTTGCCACCCTGCTTGCATGTAGATCATCTTGGAATTAATGGGACAGGTCCGCTTCAGCCCATAAGGCCTATGTCAGTGGTGAGCACGAGAAAGGCTCCCACCTACCCTGAGCATGGGTCACGACATCCCAAACGAACTACTGCTTGCCCCTGCGCAAACCGATGATCCCCTTCATGCTAACTCTAGAAGCATAAAGACTCAAGGTTTACCAGCAACGAAGGCAGAGTCAGAGACCCCCAACCAATCCCAAACCTTTTCTCGGGGCCTGGCAGACGTTGTCCTTGCACAACAGTAGACCCAGGGAATGAAGGAATCTAGGGCTTTGGGGCTGAAGGTTCGGGGCCTCAGAGACCAAATTTGGGGGTTTGGGGTTGTGATGGTTGCGGACGCTGAGGCTCCAAGGGTTGTAGACTTGCAGTGACTTTCACTTTCAAGGTTACCCTCCCGAAGCAAACATGGAACCTGCAAAGGGCGGCTGTCCTTCGAAAACAGGCCTTAGGAGGCTCATTCGGATTCGTGGCAAATATGTTGCTGGACTGGCTAGAAGGCTACAACCTTAACAGGACATTCGAAGCCCCAACATCCCAAAACCTCGGTAGCCCAAGTTGGAAGAACAAGGCCAGGAACAGATCCAAACAAAGCGTTATAAGGCATCACAGCCTCCCTGAGACCTAAACCCATGAAAGCTTGGTCAGAGCAATGATTGTAGCATTGGGATTGAGAAGGTAGCTTCCTACATCAAGAAGACCAGAAGGTTTCTCCAACTAATGAAAATTGATATGGAAAGGCCACTTCTTAGCCCTAAACCCCGAACCCAAAGCCCTAAACAAAAGAAGCCCTAAATTGGTCCTGGGGCAACTTTTCCCTCTGGGATTTCCACGACGGAGCCCCAGCCTTGATATGACAGAAGGGATTAAAATTAAGGCTTGGGTTTAAGGATTGCTGGTTTATAGGGGATTCATAAGTGAGGTAAGGTATTAATGGAGAATCAAATGGAACAGAAAAATGATGAGATGCAAACTGGGTTTATATAGTGGTTTATAGGGACGTCTTGGTGGTTGACAGTAAGGAGTAAAGGAATGGGAAAGGAACTAGAAACTACTGTAATGGAGAATCGAATGAAAAGTTAAATGGAAGATGAAGTCCCAACTGGGGCTATGTAGGGGGTGTAGAGGAATATGTAGGGATCCACTTCTCCATTCTCTGGTAGCAGCCAGTACGTACACCGGTGATTGGAGTTTAAGGCTAAAGGATACACAGACTTGAATGAGGATACGAAGCCTGGCGGCGAATATGGGGAAAACCTCAGCGTACAGTGAGCTGTATGGTATCCAACTTGAGTTCATTGTTTTCCGATTTCAGGTTCGAGGCTTAGGGCATCGCACTTACAAATCATCAGATTCATTTCATGGGGCTGCTAAAAAGATCAGAGGGTGTCCTCAGTTTCAAAGGGATTTGTCTGAGGGGTGCGGGGTAGTCAGTTTAAAGGGAAGCAACAAGGAAAGGGCGAATGAGCCTTGAGGTCATGTCCGAAAAAACGCCTTCAGCGGCAAAATCTGAACCACCACACAGAAAATCGCAAAGATAATGTTCTTGCACGAAGTGAACCCTAAACCTTAAACCCTGAACGCGAAACCCCAAAATCTGAACACGGCTATCACTGTCAGCTCTGCCCCCCAGCCAGGCAACGATGAGTAGATGTAGGTGCTGTGATATTCGTGATCATATCTCCCAAGGTGATCTGGAGTTTCTCAAAACTACCCCTAATAAAGACCCCCCTGGTCCCTTTGCAATCCCCATACATCATCAGGGTTCCCCCAGTTCTCCCAAGTGCCAATACTTGCCCAGGCTTCCACTTTACGCGTAAGTCATGGGCTGAGTCGCTGCCGAAGAATGCGGTTCGCGCAGCCTGGCGGTCAAAATGCGCTGAGCTGATCCGTGGCGTCTGCATCCTCCTTTCTACAGCGCTACTGCGATGGTGGGCAGAAACAGGACCGACAATATCGGAAGAAAACAGGGGACTAAAGCAGACCGCTCAGTGCGCATGAAACAGCCCAAACTCTGCACACTAGAGGTCCTGGGCACGTTGCCCCTCCGCTTCTGAAGGAGCTACTTGGCCGAACACCTGCTGGCTCAGTCAGTTTAGGGGGGTGAGGGCCTGTGTTGCTAGTAACATAATACGTGCAAAACCTAAAGCTAAGCGAGTAGACTGCTTGCAGTGTCAAGTGTCAACTCCCGATTTCGGGCAAGGCCGACACACAGTCCGCGAGAATTCGGCATCGAACACTACAGAAGCCCGAAATTTGACCCATCGCAAAACAGCGCAGGAGCAGCAGAGCGGCTTTGCTACTATGTTGAACCTGAATCTCATACTACTGAACACGTGAATCCATGCAGGTTACTGCAAGCGAGCTACTAGTGCTTGCAATTCCAAAGCTTGAAACATACCTCACATCTGAACCCTTCATGCCCATTGAACCTCGCGACTCTAAGTACACAGCGCAAAGGTTTAGGGTAGGGCACTCCCTTCATGGGTGATCCCATACTAGGACACCTTGGGCAGACTGAGGTGTGCCTGAGGGCGCCCTTGGTCATGTACGCCCTTCAGGATTCTGATTCCTGATAGCACTCTTAGTTGAGTATCATCTAGATTCCTCTTATCCCCCTTAATAAGCCCTATAGTACTACCCTATACCTATACCCCTATAGTACTACCCTATACAATTCCCTACATAACCCCCTCTAAGCAGGAGTCATAGGAGCTAATGAAGGGCTGCACCTCGGCGACGCCGGGGCTCTGATTTGGCGAGAGCGGACCTGCCGGTCTCCCCAAAATTCAAACATTCTATTGGGGGTTTATACCGGGGGTTATATTGGGGTTATATTGCGATAATGGAAAAGAAAATGGAAACTACTGGGATTATAGGGATTATATAGGGTTGATGTAGGGATGATATTGGGCTCATATTGGGATAGTGGAAAAGAAAACGGAAACTATCATAATGGGTCATATAGGCTTTAGGGTTCAGGGGCCGTGCTTCAACAGCTTAATGCTGTCCCGTTGCATGTTCCAAAAAGCAAGGCTTGTTCGAGGTCATGGCAAGCCCATTGACATGCACAACGGAAATTGAGAAGTTCATGACATATATCTCCTGTGGAATTCCAAAATTGGTCCGTGAGGATTTCAGACCTGGCTGTGTTAAAGCGGTGCTTAAGCTCCTGAGGGGGATATACAAATACATACTTGTATATATACGTATATACGTATGTAAAAATGTATACCGTAGCGGAATATGAAGGGATTGCGAAAAGATAGACCAGGATGCACCCCACCCAACTTCAGCTGAAGCGCCCGAGGCAGTGCAAGAAGAGGGGTGCACCTCGGGCCACTGCGGCGCGGGTCCTTGAGGCCTGCTCCTGCAAGATGAGCCAAAACGTTGGGTGTGGAATTTGATGGATTTAGGGTATTTAGGGTATTTAAGGTACTTAGGGTATTTAGGGTATTCAAGGTACTTCACGTATTTAAGGTATTTAGGGTTTAGGGTTGGAATTCAGGGTCTAGAGCCCAAAGTCAAGGCTTCAGGATGCCGAGCAAGCAGTTGCTTTGTGGCACGGTTGTGCAAGGCACAAACCAACTATGATCATTCGAAGAACCGCAGTGTGGAACCTTGTTGCTGATTCATGCTCGGGATCACCTTACCCACCCCATTGAATACAGGACTCCCGACTCCCATGTGGGCCTGTGAGGCGCCTGGTTGGCTGTGAACCAATTCCGCTTTCGGCGCCGTGTCCACCTTTTTCACGCCGCCTGAGCCCGGAAAGCAGGTGGAATGGGTCATCCTTGAACCTCCAATCCCTGTGCCACTTTAAATCCTGGACCCTAAACCCTACACCGCTAAGTACTACGAAACGGGAGTAGTAGGGTAAAGAAACAAGAACGTGTTGTGGGAGGTGGGGTGGGGATGTGCAATGGGTATACAAAGCTTAAACAAGGCAACTCCCGCCCACAAAATCCCGGGTAAAGGAAAGAACAAGCATGACTTCCAGGAACGTATACATGGTTCAGGGTTCAGGGTTTAGGCGCGGTCTTTTTGAAGTACCCTCTATCCGAATGAACGAGGAGGATACAGCCAAATGTCGGTAATTATTCTCTACAAGGCCCTACCTACATATAAACCCTTATTGATTCAAACACAGTATCCAACAAATTGCCCTTTTTAGCTTCCATGTGATTCTCCATCATTGGACCTTGCATCCCTAGAATATCCATACTAAACCCCAAACCCAAAACCCTACGCCCCAAATCCTAAACCCTCAACTCTGAACCCTAAACCCTCAAGCCTAAACCCGAAGCCCCAAACCCCGTACCCTAAACCCCAAACCCTAAGCCCTGAACCCTCAACCCTCACAACCCTAAACGCCAAACCTTAACACAGTAATAGTAACAACAGTCATATGAACACTAACAGTAACAACAGTTATACTAATATCAACAGTAATTATAGCAATTGTACTAATGTTAGTAATAGCTCCTGCAGCATGGCAAGCCAGGCCTGCTCTTCTTACGGATTGCGAAGAAAGGCCAGCACGGCCATTCAACTCCTGAGAAGTGTAGGGGTTTATGGGTTTTGGGTCTGGGGTTTAACGGTTTAGGGTTTTGGGGTTTAAGGGTTCCGGGTAAAGGTTTTTGGGCTTCGTGTAGGCATGAAAGGCATATGTAAGCGGATATGGGGTTTAGGGTTCAGGCTTTAGAGTTTAGGCCATATCTTCATATAGGTTTATGTAGTGCCTATATAGGGGGTGTAGGGATTAGGGTTCAGGGTTTACGGTTTTAGGGTTTAGGTGTGATACAAAGGGTGTAAGGTTTAGGGTCCAATGCTTCAAAACTCCAAGGTTTTAGAAATCATGGGTTTCTTCAAATATGTATAACTGCGTGAGGAGGATCCTCTTCAAACTTGGCAATGGTTACCAGGCTACCGATATCCTTGTGGGCGTTTATAAGGCTGAGTACAAGGATCCATTCCCCCATTCCCAACTCGGCATAGTAGGACCCATAGCACCAGGACAGCTAACAGACCTGTTTACCTTCACAGTACCTGCTGATCATACTTAGTGCCACATGTAATCTCTATACAGAAGAAAATGATTGAAATGCTGCAGACCTATCCAGAACATGCCGTAGAGAGTCAGCTTGCAGTTTGCCGCTCAGGCCAGGACAGCCAAATCTGCTCCATCACCCTCACCGCTGAAGTCCATGTCCCGACCAAAGATGACCTCCGCAGCGTTTCCGTCTCTGGCACTGCTAGAAAAATTACACCTCGCTCGGATGTCATGACTACCTGGAGGTCCATGATTAGGCATAGGTGGGGTTCCCGTGTATAACTTGAACTATGACTGGGTAAAACCCTGTTTGGCCTACTTACAAACCAACCTAAAACTACCCAACCTAAAACCTCTATGTCCTGGTATCTCTGTATACCAACCTCATCGAGAGCCGATGACCCAACTTCGACCTACCCCTGCCAAAACACCCTGAGGCATGCGGAGGCATGCGCACCTGGTCCACACAGGAGGCCTGTGCCCCAATGCCTGCGTACCTCCCAAGGCATAGGAATGGAAAGCCGATCCAAACTACGATGTGGTTGGGGATTATGTAAGGACTACACGGTGAATGCTTTGGGCTAGGGCAGTGTGGGCACAGACACACTGAACGGCCTTTTTCCTTCTGGTGCCAGTTCTGCCAGGGACTTTGGCTGCAAAACCAGGAGCGTTCAGGTTGAAACTCAAGGCGGGAGATTCTCCACCCTCAACCCTACACCCGCCCTAAACCCCATCAACCACCCATTAGGCCAGACCCTGAAACCTAAATGTCCAAAATCCCAGGCTTCTGCACCTAAACCCTAAACCTTAAATAATGTAGTAGTTTCCATTTTCTTTTCCATTATATCTCCTAAGCCTAACCCTAAACCCTAACCTATTTACTAGAACTCTTCAACACCGAAACCCACCATCCAGGCGACCTGCATCCTCCATCAGGAATCCGCGGGTTATCCCCAAGTTATGCCTAAGGGGTTTAGGGTTTAGGGTTTTTTTGCTGCTGCCGTGCGCACTAGTTTGCGCGCATTGGCGCCACTGCTGGAAAACTTCGCAGGGATCTGGATATTGTAGCGTATGCTACGTGAGGGCCAAGTATTCCTCTGGGGTTGAAGGTCCAGGCGTCTGGGAAGTGACGTTGAGTTGTGATCTCAATCCAGTATGGAATTTTACCACCTCTACGTCTACCAGTGCACTGTATGCGGTCTTTAAGGGCTGGACTAAAAACCACATGGTGCAGGGGATCTGAATAGTTGCTCTTGAAAACCTGTTCAAGCATTCGGAGCTGAAGCTTGTTTAGGGTTTGTGAGGGATGTCTGGGGTTACCTGCCGTGCTAACAACTTGCGCGTTTGGGATACGGGAATAGCACGATGCCTTAATACCAACAACTCTTCTGAGAAAACGGATATAATAGGCGTCTATGCGCTTTAAATGTTTCTGCTGCAGCGTGAGGGCGCCGAGGCCGTAGATCAATGTGGGAATGAAAACAGATTGAAAGATTCTGAGCTTTTCCCTGTACGGTAAAGAACTGTTCCAAACAAGCCTAAGCTTTTTGTAGGAGGTCTCGGCAACTGAGGCCCTATGCCTGAACGCCACCTCAAAGGGTTTATCCCAAGAAATCATAGAACCCAGATATTTGACTTGAGTTGTGGTCTGGACCGAAGTCCCATCCAAGAACCTAAGTTTTGGGGGAGGTTT